ATTTATTTATTTATTTATTTATTTTAGGATTTTTTCCTATAGGCCACGTGCTTGCCAGAGAGAGAGAGCGAGAGAGAGAGAGAGAGAGAGAGCACTAGAAACCCCAGGAGGGGGTGGGGGGTTGTCACACCACAATCCCTTTGCCTCTATTCTTCTCCTGGGGTCTATGGCACGCACACACACATGCAACTGCTGTGAGTTTTATGCCACTAGGTCTGGAACTCAAACTGCGGTTGGCTATGTGGGAGTCCAGTGACGTAACCATGATGCCATCTGCTGGCCCCTCCCTAATTTACTTTTTTATATATGTATTTTTTATTATTATTCATACATTAAATCACAACATATCATTTAGATTGTGAAGAGACTTCACCCAGCATGATGTACACCTCAGTCCAGCCCAGTTGAGACCACCACAGTAAAGTGGCAGGATACAAACTTAACTTACAAAAATCTAATTTACTTTTAACACTTAAGAAATATTTCTCTCTTCATTATGATAATGTAAAGATAGAATTAGCCAAAGAGACATAAAGGTGACCAGAAAAATATAAAATAAGAGTTGGTTACATGCCCAATATATTTAACAATGTTTCAGGTGCATTAGAGTTATTTTTTAAGTCAACAAAAGAAAATCATATTCAAACCCTAACTTTCCACTGAGAATAAAATACTCAGCACATTTTAAGTATACTGTAAATGGTTTTAGAACTATGTTCGAGTTTTTTCAAAGTTAATACCATAGAATTTGTCAATCTGAGATGCAAGCATTATATGAAAATGAATAAAGAGCAAAGTTCCTATTTAACTTCTGAGCCAAAACATTTGAAGAGGTAAAGCTTCTTAAGGCAAGCCAGAAAAAGCATTGAATGTAAGTATTCAGCCAAAGAGAACTTTGAGTGAAAAACATCAGGCTAAAAGAAAAACATCAACATCAAGTCAATAGGAAAGAATGGTAGTAAAACCACACTAAGCTTTGTTTATAGGACAGAGTGAGATTAGGCATTTCAGAACTCCATGAAAAATGTTATCTTCATTGGTACATAGAAAGAAGTGCTGTATAAGCCAGGGAATGCTTAACAGATTGCTGATGTTAGAAGACAGTCAACAAATCTCTGAGTCAGCAAGAAGGCTTTCCAATTCTTCAAAAGTGCTGTTCTAAGAAATTTTTTGTGTGTGCGTATTTTACCAAAAAGCACAGATAGTAAGACTGGGAAATTAAATATTAGCTGGGAAGGTTCTGCCATGTGTAGGTGCACATGACATGGGTCTATCTCAAGCCAAAACAACTCACCATCTCACTGTGGCTACGTAGTCACTGATACCCACCCATTCTACCTCACTACATGAGGAGTGAAAAGAAGTGGACAATGCAAACAGCTGAAAACCAGAGTATGAGGAGACTTCAAGACAGGACATCTTATTACAAAGCTTTCTACAGAAGGATATCTTTTTAAGATAATAAGTACATTTGCATTTCTACTACTAATGAGACAGATCAGCTTTGTAAGTTTTTCTTTAGAGGCCATGTATGTGAAGATGACCTTTTTTGCTTGTAAGAATTTATTTCAGAATTGCCATTAACTTATTACCCCAATGTTCTCAACATTAGGATCTGCTACTTTAGCAGTTTTGGCTTATCCTAAAAGACGTAGTCTCTTGATTTCATTTTTATGTTTAATTATGCCCTTTTACAACAAAATAGCTACAGACATCTCTACCAAATGGTTGACTCATGCCAGGGTACAGCAGAAAAATCATCATGAAGCCTGATTTTGAATCTCATAAATGAAACATTTAAAATCTAAGTAATAGTGGGCTGAATATTTTTCATTTTTAAAAATGTATGAAGTTTGGAGGAGGGATGAATGAGAATATTGAAAAATCTTTTGGTACCATTTATGTTGACTTCATAAGGCATCCAACCTACTGTGTTCCCTCACTCTGTGAACTGTTACTGTCAATCCCTTTTCCATATCTGCTTCACATTATTTTTTAGTATATCCTAGCTTGAAATTTCACATAAGTTTTACTGTCAACGTTTTGTCTGTTGAGTTCTACGAATTGCCAAGTGGCTTCTTCTTTCTTTCTCCCTTCCTTCCTCCGGTTTTATCATTCTGTGTACATAAATGAATAGCTTATAAAATAAAGTCTAATGGGAATGCGTGCATATTGTATATATGTTTTCACTACTCATGCTACATTAAATGCTTAAGAAAAGGCAAAAAGTAAAAATGTGGTGGACAGATAAAATCATGCTATAGTCTCTCTATGACCACTGAATTCCAGTGATAGATGACAGTAGGTAGGCCATGCCTCCGAGAATTGAAACAGAAACATCTCTAGTTTTATACATTTAATTTACTAGTACCCTTTGTCCTTCTTATTAGTAACTAATGAAATCATCAGACTCTGGTTATTGATCTTTATACTTCCATTTTTATTTCCATTGCTGTCACTGTAGTTATTTCAGTCTGCTCTTCTTTTTCAATAGCCAGGCATAAGACTAAGCACGGCTCAAATATCTCCTGCCGAGGAGAAATCACCTAGTAAGGTTCCAAGAAGCCTGACCACACTGCAACTCTCCTTTGCTTCCTGCCTTTATCCTCTGCCCTTACACCACTTCTTTTATGTCTTTATTTGACTGTTAAAAGAAAAACTCGTCCATTTTCCTGTTTTTAGATGAGTCGTTTTGCGCCCAATGATAGAAAGGCAAACATGGATTCACAAAGGAACAATCATGGTTGACCAAAAGTAATGCAAGAGGTCTGTTGCGAAGCTGTAGAGATATGAGGCACACTATTTAGCAGATGCTAAGGGCAAGAAAATGACATTAAAAATTCCTTGTGATAAAGGATAAGACAAAGATTATTATTGTTTTACATATAGGTCACCATGACCTTAAAATATGTCTTACTGGTCCAGCAGGTGGTGTTAAGGTAGCTGGATCCCACACGGTTCAAATCCCAGACTCAATGGCTTGACAAACACCCCAGGCACATGTGCATGTGTGTCCAAAATCCAAGAAGGGAATGGAAGAGAAGGGACTGTGGCATGGCCCTCCCTCCTGAGGGGCAATTTCTCACTTTTCCTCTCTCTCTTATCTGTCATCTCTAGGAAGTGCACACATCCTGTACTGAAATATATA